GGGAAAGAAAACTTGCCTGCTTGTAAAGGGGAAAAAGAGTGTTATTCTGTAGAACTTAGGTGTATTAGCTACTGATTTGTTCCTTGCAAGCTACTAAATCTGTCCCTCTGTAGAAGTGGGATGACTTTTTTTTTCCCAAGTGGCTAGCTAGGCCGAGTTAGGCTCCTGAACTTCATAAAAGGATACCAGCCCTCCCTGTAGCATTGCAGGTGATTAAAGTTTATGTGACCTGCTTTTATTAAACAGCATGGCCTAATATGCACTTTCAGTGTTTTGTATAAATGCCACACTTTCCTGCTTGGATACTTATCAAAAGCTTGTCTGTGGTCAATATGGAGGAGGTGCTGGCCAGACGATTAGTGAGCATGTATCCTTTGACCCCTTGTGGAATTCTTTTTTACTGAACTGTGCTTTGTCATTAATGCTGTTCTTGCTTACATTACGAGACATGTTAGGTTGTAACCCTATAAAACTAGTGTTTTTTTCTTTTTTTATGAGGAAGGTTGTTAGAGATGTAGTGTGCTGTATCATAGGGTGAGTGTCTCTAATTGGAGAAATTTTCCTTAGCTTCAGTGGTTCTCCCAACAGTCCTCCCTTTCTTTTAGCACCAAATCACATAATAGATTGGATTTCCCTCCTTGAGTCAAATCCTAGGAATCTCAGAGATAAATTTGGACTCATCTTACTTGGTTTTACTCTGACTTCTTTGCTTTCATATTGAAAAACATCTTGAAAATCTTTTTTAAGCCACCTCAAAAGCATTCTGGAATGCAGTGAAGCACATATAAGAAGTTCCATTCCTTCTGGCCTCACAATGTTGAAATAATTTAATGTTGCCCTGTTTTATGGATTCTTTCACATTTTAGCAATAATTGTCCTTTTAGACTACCTACCAATTCTTAATACATAATTCAGAGATGAAAAGGTTGATTTTTTAGGAGCTGTGGGGAAATTGGTATACAGGGGAAGACCTTAATAGATTTAAGGATTAAAGGTTTATTAGAAAAGATGCAGTGTAGTTTATTTAGAGGGGGTTACCAAAAAGTCAGTGATTTCTTAGACACATTTAAAAATAATTTCACATCCTCATTTAAGCATTTTCTTTTTTCATTGAACTAGCTGCTTAACTGTGTTCATCTTGAAGTGGCTTTTGTACAATTAAAGTGCTGACTGCCAGCTGCAAGGGTAGCAGAAACTCTAGTCCAGGAATTGTTTTAGGTTTTTCTGCATCTTCTTTTGAGGCATAACCTTAAGTGTTTACTTCTTCCAGGCAGGAGCTAACATGATTGTATCTGGCAGTGCCATTATGAGGAGTGAAGACCCCAGATCTGTGATCAACCTGTTAAGAAATGTTTGCTCAGAAGCTGCTCAGAAACGTTCTCTCGATCGATGAAACCACAAGGAGTCCAGGGTTTCTGCTTATGAGATCACCTTTTTATTGGAAAACAAGAATATTGACTACCAAATCGTACCACAGTTGAGGCAGTGCTGCTTTTCCGAGCAATTATTCATTCCAGTGACTAAAATCCATTTTGCAGAATGTTCCAAGAGGTTAGAAATTGGTGTGTATTATGTTTTCAGTGATGGGATTTAAAGATTAGTGTGGTAAAATACCATTTTTACTGGGAGACTTGATTTTTATAGAGTAAAAATATGGCTGTATCAAGGTTATGAACAGAAATGTGTCTTAATGCCTAAGGAAGGCATATTAGCTACTATGAAAAAATTTTTCTTTCTGTATTTCTAAAAAGAGTTTTCTTTGCTTCTTGGCTTTTCTGAAAGCAAAGGAAGTCCTGTTTTTCCTGTTTCATGTCATTTTTGATTTGTGTATATGCATGATAACTAAGTCTGGATCTGGCTGGGATGGATGGCTCTTCTAGCTTCGAAAACATGTATTTTTTACTTTGCACCTTATATTTGATACATAAAAAAAAAGTGTATTATGAAGTCCAGGGATTTTCAGGTGGTCTGTTGTAAAACGCAAGCACAAGTTTTATCAGGGTGTTTTCTTTGTTAACTTTGTTATAGTGGCAGGTTATTCAGTGGTTCTTCCCCCACCCCCTACCCACCCTCCACCAACCCCATTTCCCCTTTTTCTTAATCACACCCGCTGTTCTGAAGGACATAAAATGTTTTCCTAGCTCTATGCTAAAAGGAAAGGAAGGCCTCTGTTTGGAAGTAATATTAAGTTGAATCCTGACTCTCTTCCCCTTTCTATTTGTTTGACCTTAGCAAACCAATCCAGCCAGCCTCATTTGAGCTGATTAGTAACTTGTTTATATATTGAATGTAATCATAACAACAGTGGGGGGGGTTGTGTTGAGGATTAAGAGGTACTATTAATTATATACGTAAAGCTTCCACTACTATTCCTAGAATTGTAGGGTAGTAGAATTTGAGGATGCTCAATACAAAGTAGCTGTCATTATATAAATGTATGCTTTGTAGATTATAAAGTATGTTGATGATATCTCATTAAACCCACAAATCAGTCCTATGAATGGTAAGACAGGTATGTTTGTCCCCATTTAAAAAAATGAAGATACTAAATAAAGCTCAACAGGCTGGTACCATGGAAAGGAAGGATTCAGTAAAGAACAGGATTTCTGGTCTGTACTCTTTTTACAGATGGAGCCCTTGGGAGGTGGATTAAGCAAAGGAAGCTTCTTTTACTTAACGTTCTCTTATTTCCAGTCTAGCTTTACCCTGTAGCAAAACCAGATGGCTGAGAATATTCTGCAACTATGGATTTTGACTCCAAGGATATACATTTTATTAATCCAAGAAAGACCAGGTAGGCTAATATATGGCAAGGTACAGAGTTAATCCGTAAACTAAATATTTATGTCTGTTTCCCAAATTACACTTGGACTATAGATACATATTAGCTACTTCGTTCTTGTAAATACTCTTGCTGTGTAATACACATGGCAAGAAATAGCAGGACCCGTGTCATTAAATTTTTTTCAGGCTACTATGAGTGAGTTTTGAGAAATAAGGTTTGGAAAATAAGAATGTTAACAACACTTAAGCATAGAATAGAGCTGCCTGGTTTCTTCTGTGTTACAAGGTAAAAATTTATTTCTTACTGTTGCTTTATTTGGGCTTAGGAAAGGCTTGTGCCACACACATAGGTGACATTTAATCAAATCAGACGACACAAGGCATATAGAAATAACTTTAATTAAAAAAACTTACATAGAAGATTATAATATCAGTCATGACAAAAAAATCTGAGTTTATTTGCCTGGACAACTTGGGTTTGTTCTGGCTTTTGTTTTCTTTTTTAAAATATAAATGTACGGTAAAACTACAAGCAAAAATTTGTCAGCATTGAACTGGAATTTTTTTTCTTCTTCTTTAAAGGGACTAGTACAATTTCTAATCCCTAACAAAAACTTAGTGCCAGATCCCCCATATTAGGCCAGTTGGCTAGGATTGTCAGTTATATGGGTACTACAACTTGAATAACCTTTTTTACATGAGAAAAAGTGATTCATATAAATTGTCCTCAATTTTTACATATAACAAAATGATGTAATAGTGTCAAAAGGAATTTTACTTAATGTACACTCCAGTATCCAATATTGAAGCATTAACCTTTAAAAAATTTTATTTCTCACTCTAGGATAGATGCTTATTTGAATAGAGTAAGGAATGGTAGGGAATGACCAAAATAACTAAAAGTACAATAATATACTAACAGGAATTTCCTGTCCGTTGCTCATTTTAAGTTGGGTGTTTTCTCTTCATGAGATACATAAAATTGATAAAACTCAAGTTGAGTTTTAAAAGGTGTGGTAGTTTTAAAATACAACAATATTTAACTACTTTGCTTTTCTTATTCTGTTAGGAGTGAATAGAAAATAACCTGTGTTTAACCCAACAGATATCTGATTTCAAATGAAGGAGTATTGTGTTATCTGTATAGAAATTTCCATAAATAACTTCTATTGGTTAAACGTGTTTTTTAAAAAAAATTCCTTCTCCATAGTCAAGGCTTATAGATGTTCAACACCATTGGAAATCTGTTTCTTTATCTGGTTCAGCTGATATTTCATGGGGTAGTTCATACGTGCATTTTCAAGTGGAGTGGTCACTTGCAGTGTTTTTTAAAATACTTACATGTGTGTATTATGTATGCATGTATACTCTATACACGTTTTATATTCTTAATATATTTCTGAGGCAATTTAAAGAATAACCACGTGTATAGAAAAAGAAGAGCTGTCATTTGATGCATAGGTATATGTGGGTGTGGGTATAAGTTGTTTAAAAATTATTATTTTTACCCAGTAATGTGACTTGACATCAAATTGCAGCAGTTAATTTTCTGGTGCTTGTGATCTGCATCAAACACAAATGACTAGCACTTGTCTGTAGGTGAAAAGCTAGTTACTCCTGTGGTTCAGGAGGGAAAAGGAGACGTAACTTGCCTGTTTCATAAACAGCACAAAAGATTAATACATGCACCTGCACTACATGCTGTTACTCTGGAATTGTGACTGTGGAGGGGGTGGGGGAACAGGGCTTACTTTTTCTCCTGTTTTCCCATTCAGTTACATCGTTTTCTTAACCTGTTCCCTGTCACTGATTTTTCTTAACGTGAGTGGAGTAAGTCCTAGACCAAGGATTTTGTGTTCCTCCATTCCGTCCGCCTGCCTTTGTGGATGGTGGCCATTCTCTGGTGCACTGGTACAGAAGACTTCACCATGGAAAGCTGGACTTGATCTTTCAATCTGATCATTTTTTTCATCTTGGCATAATAAGGCTGCTATGTCTTCATCTTTCAGCGGAAAAGCCCGTCGTTCCCACCCCAAAGACTGAAAGAGAAAACGTTTTCAGTTAAGTTTCAACTAATTTGTTTAAGTTCATGTTTCAATCTGTAGCTGCCAGTTTTGTAATAACCATTGTTCTGTTCTTTCTTTAGCACATAAAAGTACAGATTCTCATTTGGTCCTGAGTATCTAGCAACTCAAAATGGAACGTACTGAGGATTACTTAGGGACCTTTGGGAATTATTTTTTTCACTTTACCTCTTCCACGGAGAGGGAAACGCTGCCATTAGGGCACTGGTCTTCATTTTCAGCCTAGGAGCGCTTTAGGGAAGGCCCTTTAAAAGTGTTGGGATCGTCTTCCTCAGTATCTCCATTTTCATCCCATCATTATTACAGACGCCTATTGACTTTTCTTTCCCTGTGCTTTCTGTGACTTGCCTATTAATTTCTATTGTCTCTACTCTCTTGATTCTAGATATGGTTCTTCTTTTCCAACACCTACTGATGAAGAAAAGTACAAGAACTTTATAGATGCAGTGTTAGAAAACACTCCCATTGGGGTTAAAACTGGACAAATGGGGAGAAAAGTAAAAATCTTTTATAAGGGGAAGAGAAATATCTAACAAACATTTACTCTGTGCCAGGTGTCATTCTGTTTAATCCGATTTGGTTTGTAATGAAACTTTGATAGAATTCCCATTTTCTAACACATAAGTGAACAGGTGGAATTAGGTACTGACATGTTACATAAAGAGTCAGGGAAGTGTCTGTAGTTAGTGATGGAACTAGAACGCTGGAACACAGCCTCTGATTCCTACACCCAGCATTCTGTACTGGACTGTCGTACTGAATTTGTTATGTAATGATGACTCCTTAATTATCAACAAGCAATTCTATAAACAAGTTTTTAAAAGTCAGTTAAAAGGAGGTTTAACTAGTTATGTATAACACTCCTACCTTGATCTCTTGACTCTGACTTACTGAAGGTGAGGCGTGTGCACTGGGGTCCTGGCTCTCTGGAGGCCCGGCAGGACTCTCAGCAGCGCTGTGCTGCCCACCACTGAAGTCGTTAGGGTATTCTTTCAAAAGCAAGTCCTGTCCTTCAACATTTTTACTGTAAGCTCTAGCAAGAAAATATTTAATTATTTGTTGATGTCTTAACATTGTATGAACAACCTAAGGTATCGTTCATAAAGTCAGTTGAACTTGGTAGCTTTTCTTTAAACAGCTCTGGCCAAAAGATTTTAAAAAATTCATCTGCTGATCTTCCTGATGTTATTATCCTCACATCTCAAAGACTTGAATAGTATTTTATGAAATCTTTTGCCAAATTATTATAGTGGTTTTGTTTTGTTACAGTTTGGGGTTTTTGTTTGTTTTTTTTTCCAGAAAACAGGAAAAGACAGTTACTTGACTCTTAACAGTCTGAGTTCCCCGAGTATCTATGGTTATCGTAATGTCATCCATGAAGGACTCAATTCACATTTTCCTCTGTACTTCTGGAAAACTGTATCTCTGGAATGTGGAGAAAGTTGAGAACAGAATCTCGTGTATGTTAGGATAACTCTTAGAATAAGGCTCTACAACAAATCTGGGTATCTTGAGACCTAAACAAACAGAGAAATGTGTTTTACAAATAATAGAGAGATGCTCCACACTAAAGTGACTATCAGATTTCAACATGATCTTGCATTTTGAGTTTTGGCTATATTAAAAAATAGTCCAGTTAAATATAAAATACCAGGGATTTTCTCAAATACAATGACTACTGATTATGTTGTTAGGATTTATCCCCCCTTCCTTCAAAGTCATGTTCCAAGTATTTTAGGCGATTTGCTTTTTTACCCTGGATAGGTTTCTTGAGGGTTTTTTTTTTTTGGTTTGTTTCTTTTTAAGAAAAATATTTCTGAAGTGGCTTTGTTACAGATTACCCAGATTCTAATCCCTAGTGTTAGGTCCACCATTACAGTACACTGAAATGACCTATTTATGGAGAATTGTTCATATTGTTTGCTCAATTAAATCTATTACTGAGGCTGACAGTTAGCATGAGAAATTGTAATTATGTAATTAGCCTGAATATATTTTGAATGTAAACTCAGTATAAGCAGTGTTTCACTTCTAGGGCACAAACAGCAGATGTTATATAGTATGTTTTCTTCATTTTCAGTGGTCTCCCTCGTTACTATGCAGAATTATTGGAGATTTCACATGGATTCCATGGTTTTGGGGTTTAAATTTACAACACCTGCCTGCTGTTTCTTCTGTGCCACTTGCTTTGCTCCCATAGTGACCATCTGGCTTGCTCTTTCTCTTCATATTTTCTGTGTCTTAGGGAGAAGACTGCATCAGAGAGGTCTTCTATCTAGAATTAGAAATGCTTTTATCAGAAACATTTTGAAATAGGAGAAAAGGTGTCAGAGTTCCTCATCAAGAGACCAATAGGAAGAAAACTCTAAAATAAATGCAGTCTAAGTCAGAGAACAAATGTTAGGAGAGGAGGTTCAAATTCCTAAAAAGAGGGAGTTTAAAACTTTTTTACTGTTGGGTCATGTTTGAAGACTTACCTAGAATACTTATAGTACCTTGAGTACATACAGGTTCACAGTGCTTTCCACTTACATAAAATATCCTTAATGCTTTATTCATCCAAAACCTTGCATTGATTGCCCCTTACGGAGTATACTGTTCGTGGAACATATTAATATCAAAGAAAGTAAAACTGTCTGAGGTAAATGAGCATTAGTTTAATGAGTTACTTATCTGGAGTTCTAAGGCTTCGGTTGTGTTTCTGGCTAGGGTCATTCTGAACTAGGGAAGGGTGCATTAAAAGAGGGAAGGGCATTCATTAAAAAGTAAATTTTGGTAGTTGAAAAACACGATCAGTTGGCACAGAAAGACTGTAATGGAAACAATGTCTTTTATATAATACCTGCTTCAGACTATCACTTTGAATTAGTTTGGTTATATAGTATCTTTCCCTTTAATTTTTCTTGTCTTACTATAAGTTTTATCCATACAGGTCCACAGTCCCTTTTCTGTAATTCCAAAAATCTGAAAAAACAAGTTTTCATTTGGTGACACAACTTATCTGAAATGATGTGGGGCTATTCTACTTTCTATTAATATTTCACTATAGAAACACTAATATTTGATTATGAGAATTGTCCTAGACTCCCTACATGTATTACGTGATATATGTACCACATTACTTTCTAAAATCCAAAATTTTCCAAATTCAAAAGCAATTGTTCACAAGATTTTGCATATGGAATTGTAGGCTTGACTATTAAACTAAATACCATGCAGAAAAATATGACTAATACTGGGAATTGAATATATTCACATAAATTCAATATTTCAACAACTCATGTAAGGATATGGTATGTTTTGTTTTTGCTTTTCTTTATTCTTTATACATTTTGTCTTTGTAGCCAAATTTGCACAAAACACTTTGCTAATCAAATTAATATCCTTAAAGGGGAACTTCCTTTTCATAAGTTTTGAAAATTAGAAAAGTCAGCGTATGTTCCTCAAATACCAAATTAAGCACATGGGAAAAAAAAAAAATTAAGCAGGCTTCATAATATATTAAGTGCAGTAAGTGAAAGGCAGCTTACCTCTTCTTCACCCAAATTATATTCATCCAGAGGCTGAAGAACAACCATCCTCCAGCTGTTGAAGATACAAACGAATTTCAAACAGCTTTTGTTAATCTACCTAAATGTAGCAATTTTATTCTGTAAGCACAGCTATTATAGTAGTGTTTTCTTTCTTTGTGATTTCCATAATTCAAGTGGCTGTATCTTAGTACTTTATCTTTTAAAAGAGACAACATATTTGTATTATGAGGACAGAAGATGAGGCTTTACTTTTGGCCTTACAATAAACAGTCTCTTCTACATAGTTGCGTTTTACACCTAAGAATGTACTAATTTTGAAATAAGTTAGTGGTATGCTGACAAACTGGCTCAGAAAATAAAGAGGAAAAAAGCTCTGAATTTTAGCATTTGCCAATTTCTTTGTGTGAAGACTCCCATGATGGCCTCTTGTGAGTTTTTAACAGCCACATCACAGAATCCCTACGTGCTAAACAAGGTCAGCCAGCCGGCTCCAGCCTACCAGTGTAGATTGAAAACATTTTTGTTATAGAACATCGAACCACAAATGTTATTTCTTTACTTAATGTAGAATATGTCAACGAATTCTCTGCAGAAATTCTCATAATACCTCCTAGAGTATTAAGAGTTCTCTCAGTGCCTCAAAGCAATTATGAATAAAAGAATCAAATTAGTTAGAATAGAGGTGGGTAGGAATTACTATAATTGTCAACCAGCTCTTGTCTCTGTTTCCATCCTTTTCTATTTCTGCTTCTTGGTGCCAGATTAATAATCTTAAACCTCTTTCATCATGGCTAAAAAATTTGACAGTTTGCTGCCGGCAGGAAACAGATCTGTGTATAGCATTCAAGGACATCCACAATCTTGTGACAACTTCTTTTTGAGCCTTCATTTCCTATATCACCCTTCACAAAACCTCAGTCTCTGGCTTAGCCTTGCACAGGTTGTCACAGGTGTTATCATCTTACACTGCGAATATGCTATGCAAAGGTAGTTGCTTTCTTTGATCTCTGCAACCTTGTGCATATCTCCATTTTAAAGAGCAAGGATTATCTGTTAGTGTAATTATTTACATCCCTAAAGTACCTTTTAGTACCATATATACAATAGAAAACTATTGAATGAAAAACACTCAAAAGTGCTAAAGTATTAGGAATTTCCATTTCTTAATAAAACCTGAGAAAGTAGTGCTACTATGTGGCACTTTTTTTCAGCATGAGTAATGTAAAAGTTTCTTTCACCATTTTCCCTCCATGTAACCATATAAGTGGGAGGAAGGCAGAAAGGAGCATCTTCCTTTCATTAAATAAAATTTTAACTTCACTGAAAATTTAAATTTATTCAAAAAAAGAAGGAAAATTAAAGAATATAAGTATACATACCTCGGAGTAACTATTTCCTTATATTGGAGTTTCTCTAATTTAGCTGGGGCCACTAATGACATGGGAATCACAATATTATCTATATCATAAGAGCTCTCACTTCGCAATCGTCGCCGTGCAGTATTCTGCAAGATAGGATTGTAGTAGTTTTACAATAGTATTTGGTTACCTGTAATGATACTCTCCTTTTACGAGTTATATAAAGATAACATGGCAGTGCCTTTAAGTTTTATACATTGTTATGAAATCTGAGTGTAAAGTGTTAAGAAAAACAAGAAAGCATATGTATCTTCTATGTACCGATACATTTGTGTGTAGACACATTCAGGCCTATTTTTAAGACCATTAAAAATATGAATGCCTTAAAATACAAAACTTATCAGAAGAGTGTACCATAAAGCACCCTAAATGTCAGTGAAATGATCTTTTAACAAACTCATTTTTTATTAGGAAAGGCTATGAAATGCTTGGTGAGCCATTTAATAAAGATCATTTTTATAATCTTCATTTATGTGTTCCTGGGTCCCTGAGCTTCATGCTGTTTTCTCTAAATCCTCCCATGTTTTAACCTCTACTCCCTACCAGCTAATGAAACAGAACAAAGAAAGAACACAGTGCTGGATTCTTATTAAGCAAGATTATACTTAGCATCATGTCAAGAAGTAGGGATGGTTATGATAAAGTTTAAAGTTTTTAGCATACAAAAAAAGCCATAACCAAGGATTAATGTACAATTAGCTCCCTAGTTAAAAAAAAAAAAAAGTTTAATCAAATTTATTGCGTCTCAGTAAGATAATTCTGAATATGCTAATTATGTGCTAGTAAATAAGGCTGTTATAGATTAACAAAATATAACAAGTTCCCCTCCCCCCATCAGATCTGCCAGGTTTAAAGGTCATAAAGCTACTTTAAAGTTCACTGTACAAAAACCTACTTGTGATGATGAATTCTGGGTTCTTGATATAACATTGACATTAGTAACTGCAGTAAAATTGCTCTGGGATCCTGGTTCTGTGCGTTGAATAGCAAATTCTTCAAATCTAGTTCTTTCTCCTGCCATGGAAAGAACCATTGAGAATGTCATACATTAAATGTAACTGGTAGGTATTAGAATTTCTGTTTTCCTGGTTTGGTAACATGTGTTTCTTGATCTGTTTAGATTTTATTTTTTTAAATTCATGTATCAAAAATGAAAAAATTAAGGAAATTTTATAAAAATCTTAGCCACAATCCTGCCACAATTTCCATTTTCTGGGGTCTTGACAGTTTTTATCCAGCATATCTTTCTTTAATCTTAATCTCCCTTTACTCTGTTCATGTTTTCTGTAACTTATTCAGAGGTTGAACTTCTAAGACTTACCTCTTAATTTTCTTGTCTATTCTCTCATTTTTTCATATTGTTTTGTTCTACTTTTTGGGAGATTTCCTCAACTTGATCTTCTGACTACTGATTTCTGAAAATGTTTCTCCTATTACAACATCCTATTTCAGGAATGAAATTTCTCTTTTCTCTCAGAATATTGATAACGAAGTTAAGTTTACTTCCAACTTTGTTATTTTCTGTCTCTTCCACGTTCCTTTTCTCCATTTGTTTTGTGTCTATTAGTATATGTTTATTTTCTTACTGCCCTTGTTTATTTTACTTTAGTACAGATCGTGAAAAATATTTTCCTGTGTAATGTAAAATTTAATACACAGTTCATATTTATATTATTCCAGTTGTTTAAAAATGTCCTTTCTGGCTAGTTGTTTCTTCAAATCAGTATCCATATCTTGAAAATGGTTGTCTAGAGAACTGTCTACTTACTTCTTTGTAGTATAGCATTTTACTCATTCTATTCCTGTGTTCCCAATCTAGCTCAAAGTTAGATCTATCAATTCAAGTAAAACAGTCTACATCTTAGGTAATGTGTATTTTTTCATAATGCATCTTTATATTAAGAGATACAGGTTTTCCTATATTTTGGCAAAGATGTATGCAAGTTCCTCAAAAGGTAGATGACTGTTGGTTATCTTAAGATTAAGGCACCAAAAAAGCATAATGATATCTCTGAATGTGGGTGGGAGTTTAATTTTGTTGCATGCTAGTTGATCAGGTAGTGTGATATTAGGTAGTGACTTTGGTCTGTTACGGTGGGATTTCTAGAGGCCATACTGATAAATATGTTAAAGCCACCGTGTATAATTACAGTTAAGTACATCTTGGATGTAAATAGTTTCTAATTTATTATTGGGTGTATTGACATACTATACCTCGGACATACTTGACTAATGTATATAGTGTTAGATCCACTGGAACAATGAATAAGAACCAATCGAGTATACAGGTAACTTGTTATTTAATACACACCTTTCCAAAAATAAGTTTTATTTTTTATCATTATTTGCAGTAACTGTTGAAACTATCTTGTCCCAAATCCCCATAACAAACCCATTTTGTATTACTAGCAGGGTTCTAGTTTCCGAGATATCTCTATTCATCTTGGAACTGTACGTTCCTAAGGGGAATTCAGTCAGGAGGTTGAGTTACCTTAGATGAATCTCACCCAGTTTATCAAAATTCTGGGGAAGCTTCAGTGAAATCAACATCTCCACAATAGGTACCAGAAATGGTAATAAATATCTAAAAGGCAACCTTGTACTGACATATTTTGAGTCCAGAACACAATGTTGGAGACGAAATACTGTCCAGGAGGACAGTTAGTAGAAGATAACTCTAGTTAGGAAACATAGAAAGGAAATCCTTAACTCATAAAGTGGATGGATTCCCAGTCCACAAATAATTCAGAATTGACTACATGAATATGCTGTTTAATGTTCATAGAACCATGGATGTTGCGTGTAATTAGTGACTGTTCTAGATTATAACTCCCGTGAGGCAGAGGTTCTTCGGAAATCAGAATTTTTTATTTTCACTTTTTAGTACTAGTGCTCCTGTCCTCATTTTAACCTACCTAATGCTGTTTCACTCAAGTGTCTTTTCTTTCTTCCCTGTAACACCTGTGCAGAAGATTCTGACCTCATTTGAGGCTTGCATATAGGAGAATATCCATTTCTCCATTGATTCAGAGAAGTATTATGTACTGAAAAGGAAAGAAAAATGTGACGTTTTAGTTCCTTAACACAAATATAATGAGCATGTTAACCTCTCTTTACTTTGTAACATTGCAGAATATTAATATACCAGTTCAAAATAATATATAACGAAGTAAATACTTACATACGAAGATGAAATACTCCTAAGATGAAAATAACCAAAGTAAGATTCATTAAAAACATCTTCAGGAAGTGCCCAATTTCCTATAGTTGCTCCATTATTTGAAGAGGATGAAGAGGAAAGGTGATCTGTTCTCACAGTCTTCTAAATTACAGAATTTTACAGAGAAGATTTGTTCAGATCTGTAAATCTTGGCTGAATATGATCTGAATCCTTAAGTTAGTTCCTGCTTACCTTAAATCTGGGAATCTGGGAACAACTCAGGACTAAGTAAGATTATAGAATACAACAGACTGGGATCTCTTGAGAGCAATAACCAGATTTCATCAATCTCCTGACAGTGCCTAGCACCATTCTTTCACTTTTTAAAGCAGTGAATTAAGTCACTTAATATCTCTGTGCCTCAGTTGCCTTATCTGTAAAATAGGGATAATAGCATTGTGGGATTGTGAGGATGAAACAAATTCCTGTAATAGTCATTAGAAGGATATCTGGCATAAGTATGCAATAAATGTTAGTTTCACCATGACTGTTGTTCTGTCTGAACCCCATATTTCCAGTACTGGATTAATAACTAAATTGGCTTCTTTTTTTGAAATGTTCGGAGATGTGGAAAGGATGGGGAAAAAATATGAAGGCCTAAGTGCCAAATTCTCACCAACGCTGAGAAAAAAGAATATGGCCTACCAACAGAGACTGGGACTCAGATTTCAAGATGGCAAAGCACCCTAAAAATGATAGACAAAATTTTTATACATAGATGCACAGATTGGCACATTTACATCCACATTAGCATGCAAAAAAAGGAACTTTTAAGTAGAGCAGAATTTGTGAGCAATCTCTGAAAGCCTAATATGAAATTTGAAGAGCAAACTGCAAAAGCACATGGGAAAGTACTGCCACAAAAATGTGATCAAAATCAAAGGGGCTCCAGACCTGGAGGAAAGAGAATTACCTGCAGTAACTAATAGAATGACTACACTTGCCAGCCTGCCAACACCTCCACCAGGGTCCTTGAGGCTTCAGTAGAGAAATGGATGGGTGGGTAGATAAGGCAACACCCGGGTGCCCCACTTTGTTTAAAACATGTCCTGCCCATCCATAACTGCCTCTGAAAACAGTATAGAGTGCAAATTTCTACCTCTTCCATGAGAAGGATCCCATAAAAAGCAGCAGCAGAAGTTGTAACTGAATATCAACTTTAAAGATGAGAACACAAGACTAAAAATCTGAATACCAGTAGCATACAACAAAGAAAAGATACAAACAACAAATGGAAGAACCATCTCTAGAAATAGTTAATGGGTTCACAGAATACACATTTACAGGTCTTCAAAATATTGCCAAAGGAAAGAGGCAAAAGGCCAAGAGACCTCAGAAATGGGAAGTATAACTTGAAATTGAGAAACAAAATCATTGCTCACTGCCCTGAATAACAGAATGGTCACATCTAAAAGTCAAGATCATTGGATTGGAAGAGTAATTCCACAACTCAAAGGAATAGAGTGATGGAAATATGAAAAAAAAAGACAAACCAAAATAGGTTAACAAACGACTAAACAGAATGAATGGGATGTAATATTTGAGGAAATGATAGCCAAATTTTTTTACACATTGATATTAACTCTAATATTTCAATAACTCACTTGAGCATCAAAGCAAATGAAATAATATATATATAGCACATAACTATGAAGACAAACTAAAAGTTACCAGAGAAGGGAAAAATTACTGCAAAGGATTGAGAATCAGATTGCCAGAAAGCAAAAGCACAAACCCACAGCCAACATTGTCCTCAATGGTGAAAAACTGAAAGCATTTCCACTAAGATCAGGAACAAGACAAGGTTGCCCACTCTCACCACTCTTATTCAACATAGTTTTGGAAGTTTTAGCCACAGCAATCAGAGAAGAAAAGGAAATAAAAGGAATCCAAATCAGAAAAGAAATAAACCTGTCACTGTTTGCAGATGACGATATTGTACATAGAAATCCTAAAGATGCTACCAGAAAACTACTAGAGCTAATCAATGAATTTGGTAAAGTAGCAGGATACAAAATTAATGCACAGAAATCTCTGGCATTCCTATACACTAATGATGAAAAATCTGAAAGTGAAATCAAGAAAACACTCCCATTTACCATTGCAACGAAAAGAATAAAATACCTAGGAATAAACCTACCTAAGGAGACAAAAGACCTGTATGCAGAAAATTATAAGACACTGATGAAAGATGATACAAATAGATGGAGAGATATACCATGTTCTTGGACTGGAAGAATCAACATTGTGAAAATGACTCTACTACCCAAAGCAATCAACAGATTCAATGCAATCCCTATCAAACTACCACTGGCATTTTTCACAGAACTAGAACAAAACATTTCACAATTTGTATGGAAACACAAAAGACCCCGAATAGCCAAAGCAATCTTGAGAACGAAAAATGGAGCTGGAGGAATCAGGCTCCCAGACTTCAGACTATACTACACAGCTACAGTAATCAAGACAGTATGGTACTGGCACAAAAACAGAAAGATAGATCAATGGAACAGGATAGAAAGTCCAGAGATAAACCCATGCACATATGGTACCTTATCTTTGATAAAGGAGATAGGAATGTACAGTGGAGAAAGGACAGCCTCTTCAATAAGTGGTGCTGGGAAAACTGGACAGGTACATGTAAAACTATGAGATTAGATCACTCCCTAACACCATACACAAAAATAAGCTCAAAATGGATTAAAGACCTAAATGCAAGGCCAGAAACTATCAAACTCTTAGAGGAAAACATAGGCAGAACACTCTGACATGAATCACAGCAAGATCCTTTTTGACCCACTTCCTAGAGAAATGGAAATAAAAGCAAAAATAAACAAATGGGACCTAATGAAACTTCAAAGCTTTTGCACAGCAAAGGAAACCATAAGACCAAGACCAAAAGACAGCCCTCAGAATGGGAGAAAATATTTGCAAATGAATCAACTGACAAAGGATTAATCTCTAAAATTTACAGGCAGCTCATGCAGCTCAATAACAAAAAAATAAACAACCCAATCCAAAAATGGGCAGAAGACCTAAATAGACATTTCTCCAAAGAAGATATACAGACTGCCAACAAACACATGAAAGAATGCTCAACATCATTAATCATTAGAGAAATGCAAATCAAAACTACAATGAGATATCATCTCACACCAGTCAGAATGGCCATCATCAAAAAATCTAGAAACAATAAATGCTGGAGAGGGTGTGGAGAAAAGGGAACACTCTTGCACTGCTGGTGGGAATGTGAATTGGTTCAGCCACTATGGAGAACAGTATGGAGGTTCCTTAAAAAACTACAAATAGAACTACCATATGACCCAGCAATCCCACTACTAGGTATATACCCTGAGGAAACCAGAATTCAGAAAGAGTCATGTACCAAAATGTTCATTGCAGCTCTATTTACAATAGCCCGGAGATGGAAACAACCTAAGTGTCCATCATCGGATGAATGGATAAAGAAGATGTGGCACATATATACAATGGAATATTACACAGCCATAAAAAGAAACGAAATTGAGCTATTTGTAATGAGGTGGATAGACCTAGAGTCTGTCATACAGAGTGAAGTAAGTCAGAAAGAGAAAGACAAATACCGTATGCTAACACATATATATGGAATTTAGGGAAAAAAAAAATGTCATGAAGAACCTAGGGGTAAGACAGGAATAAAGACACAGACCTACTGGAGAACAGACCTTTGGATATGGGGAGGGGGAAGGGTAAGCTGTGACAAAGCGAGAGAGAGGCATGGACATATATACACTACCAAACGTAAGGTAGATAGCTAGTGGGAAGCAGCTGCATAGCACAGGGAGATCAGCTCGGTGCTTTGTGACCGCCTGGAGGGGTGGCATAGGGAGGGTGGGATGGAGGGAGATGCAAAAGGGAAGAGATATGGGAACATATGTATATGTATAACTGATTCACTTTGTTATGAAGCAGAAACTAACACACCATTGTAAAGCAATTATCCTCCAATAAAGATGTTTAAAAAAAAAAAAAAAGAAAGCAAAAGCAGATGCAGGAAAAAACAATGGCGACTTTTTAAAGCCCTCATGAAAAACAGTAAACAGAATTCTAAGGTAGCCCTCAAGATTTCTTGCCACCCAAGATGAAAGCAGAGAAAGATGTTAAATAGTAAAATAAGATGGCAGACAATAGTAAATGCATTTCTACAAAGGGGTAGCTAGAATTGTTAGGTCTTAAAATGTATACCTGGCATGTGTTGGTGTTCCAATAGTGTCCACTCGTTTTCTAGAGTATTTTAAAGCAAATTCCATGCAAATTTCAATGCATCTCTTCTAAAAGGAATCTCGCCATCCCCCTTGTCTTGTAAAAGCACATCAGAAACCTTAACCTTCACTAAAGTGATGCTTTTTAATTTTACTCAAAAGTTTTCTTTACACTTTCCCCCTTTTAGTCTTTGGTGTCTTGGAAGGTTGTAGTGGACTCTTGATGCATGGCAATTTAGAGTGTAACTCACACCTTCTCTTCACCTGTCCTGATGATAACCCTCCCAGTCTTTCAGTTCTCACTTACCCAAATCTTCTAAATTCCATTTAAAGATACATCTTGGGGCTTCCCTGGTGGTACAGTGGTTAAGAGTCCGCTTGCCGATGCAGGGGACACGGGTTCGTGCCCCAGTCTGGGAAGATCCCACATGCCACGTAGCGGCTGGGCCCGTGAGCCATGGCTGCTGAGCCTGCATGTCTGGAGCCTGTGCTCCACAACGGGAGAGGCCACAGCAGTGAGAGGCCCGCGTACCGAAAAAAAAAGAAAAGCTATATCTTGGCCCAGCATCTCTCCTGTCTCCTG